GCTTATAAGCTGACAAACTCTATTCTACAAGATAACTATTTTAGAACTACTGTTTGTTTCTTTGTTCTCTCATAAGTCATAACGATTTTCGCTTGAATTGGCTTCAACAATTAGGTACCCAATGCACTAAGGTTGTTCATACAAATGCTTTGTACATCAGGTTGAATGGGACGACATGTTTTTCCCAACATTTTGCATGTGCTTAGTGAAGGCATTGTTTAATAATGTTTCCACTTTTACAAATCTCAGATACATGCCCCTACCTTATCAGTGTCTGTGATATGGTGTTATATTGAAGCCCTACAAAAATAGCGTGTCAAAATGATCAAGAAGTGCGTCAAAAAAGTAAAAGTCTTTCAGTGACCAGTTTTACCATACTCATTTACCCTAATGGCTGTAGTGTTGTAAAAATCCGTTGGGAAATTGGCTTTTGAAATTCCGAATTCCAATCCTAAATATCTTGATAATCAAACATGCGAGTGGCTTGTAAACGTCATGGGATTCATTTCTGACCTAAATGTTTTGATTATGATTGCAGAATGAGCTAAATCCAAGTTTTTGTTTAGAATCAAAGGCAAAGTTATACCGTTAAGGGCGGGAGAGACATGTAAATCTTTCTTTCCTTAATCAAACAGTTTGACATCACTAGTATCGATACCTTTCCCCCAATCGTGCAAAACTTGCATTCACCAGAATCAGAAATGTCTTAATACTAATTAACAACAACAGATGAAACCGACAAAACAAAGAAACATATAAGGGTAGATTTTTTTAAAAGCCGGTCTGGTTGGTTGTCGGGCTCGTGTGCCGTGGATAATCAATCCCTTGAAACATTGTCAGGAGGCATCGGTCTCACGTGCTGTCGGTCTTGTGGGCCGTTGGTCTAGTGCCGTACTGGACCTTATTGCGAATTTCCTCTTTTCTGTTTTGTCGGTCTCTTGGGCTGTCCGACTCGTGCACAGACGATCTCGTGGCATGTCGGTCTAATGAAAATTAGTGAATGTCGATCTAAGGGTTGCAGATCTCGGGAGCTGTCAATCTAATTGCATGAATCTTGCAGTGTTGACTGGTAGGCTTGCATAAGTAAACCTCAAATTTAAAAGTTTCTCATGAAATAGTCCAGATAACTTTTTAAGGGTTCACTATCAACGGCCCAAGATTGACACCCAACCAGAACGACATTTTTGTGTCTATCTGCCCTCATATATATTAATTTATTTTGTCGTTTTCGTTGGTCAGTTGACATTGAAGTTCATTTAGTGCTATAAAAAATAATAACCACTCTCCTGCAGGACTGGGGGATTTTTAAAAAAGTCATCTCAAACATCCCCTTTAAAGCCCCACTACACTACGTATAGCTAACTGCGCCCTCTATATATCAAACAATGCCTAATCGGTGCCTGTCGGTCCCCCATGATCTTCTTTTTATTATGTTAATTGAGAGCTGATTTGATGAAATAACCACCAGTCGGTGACCTTGCAGGGAGGTATAACCCCCCCCCCCCCCTGGTCAAACTATTACAGACGGGCTTTAACAACCCGTGTTTATACATCATACCTGTCTAATTCTGCTATTGATTCCTTGACATCGCTTTGTGTTAACGCCAATTCTTTATAGCCCGAATTGAATTGTGTTCGTTGAAATCATTGCCTTTCAATTAAAGATTGTATTTCGGATATTCAGCATGAATAGAATGTTTGTGCTTGAAAAGATGAAGTCATGCAGTGTGATTTTGCGATTACCATATTGCAGTTTGCATGGAATTCAGCAATCAAGTACATCGTGGGTATTAAGAATAGCATCTACTGTAGTATACTGACTGTGAAATTTATTAGCACAATAGACCCCCCCCCCCCTTCTCGTTAAAGACTGTTTTACTAATAGTTTCACAATTAGCAAACTCAAATACATGTACAAACAAATAGACAACGCTTCAAAGCTGAATTTCATGAATAAAAAGAAAATAAAATGTATATGTTGAAGAAAAAAGCGTATAAAATCACGTACCATAATATACATGACATAATGTCCACGCTCATCTTGAATACAACGCTTTATCCTTGGCCTCTATATCTCTTCCCTTCTAATTCTCTCTCTCTCTCTCTCTACCTCTCTCTCTCTCTCTCTCTATCTCTCTCTCTCTCTCTCTCTCTCTCTCTCTTATTGTCTATTTTTTTCTTTCCCATCCCATCCGTGTATCTTAACGTTTTAATTTGATTTCAACTTCGACCCTAAGCCGGTCGAACAAGAAAGGGAAAGAAGGGGAAAGATGGGAAGAGAAGGGAAGATAGAGAGAGGGGTGAAAGAGGGGAGAGAGAGAGAGAGAGAGAGAGATAGGGAGAGAGTACGAAGGAATGAAAGGAACAAAGCCTTGTCCAGAATACTAGACATCTTCAATACGTCTCGCTGCTTAATCAGGTAAACGTCAACGATGCGTTGCATAGCAACCGTCTCTGCCTCTCCTTCTCAGCAGCCGTATACATCGGCACAGCACGATCGCTATTATAGCAGTGTTGGGCGAGCTAAGGAGGAGGCAATCAGCATCTTGGGAACACAGCAAGAAGAAAGAGCATCTCAATCGGAGGCTGTGCATTCACAAGGTCGTGCAACCTATTAAGACGGCATACATTTACTGGTGAACATTAGCTGGCATACAGGTAGGCATCTAAAATGAAAACCATGGTGGTGATACATAATCTTTAAGTGAGTATTGGTATGCAATTGATGTGTCGTTTTGATGAACATGAGCTAAAGTCTTGTCGTGATTCGTTTGACAAGGGAAATGCGTAGCCAGGAAGCGACATCACATGCTAGTTTATGTGCTCATTATTATTCAATTCATCAGTCTTATGAAATGTTGTACATGTACATAACACTTGATTAATTATGCTCCACTCACAATCGACATTCATTTTGGTACAAATCTATACAGCAATGCAAGAGAGTTGATGTCAAATGTAGAATTACATTTCTAAAAATAACCATCATGATGTTGATAATCAGACCATAACGTTATTCGATGGAGCATGGTTGAATGGTGGCATTTAATACAATGGAGTGCTTTTTAGATTGTTCGACAAAATTATGTTTTGCATCTAAAAGTTTCCCCTATAATCAATACCACTGTATGAATAAAATTTGTTTTCGTACTGTTATCTTCGTCTGCATTGTCATTATATGTTGATCAATTTTCTCAGCACCATCAGACTGGTTAGAGAATAGAAGTATGACCCAAACCATGTCGAAATAATAAATAGTAGTTACTGGTACAATCAAGTTCAACTCTATCTCATGATTATAGCATATCGTATAGATTTCTTGAAAATGAGGAGGGGGGCCAATTCAATGGTATTTGAAATAAAATGTTCTTGTTACGTAAAAACACATTCTAAGGATCAATTGCAAAAGAAATAGTAAAAATGATTTTACTTGTGCATGCAGTATCGAGGTTAAAGGAATGAAATTACACAATTAATTTTGATACCGTATTGTCTAGATTTTTTTCTCCAATTTGTCTTGCTTTCATGCCATATGACATACCAAATAATAATGATTAAATAAAAGATGGTTGACCGAAAAGGGAAAGGAAGAGGAGCGGGGATATGACATTATTTCGGCCTAAGCGTGTTTTTTCGACAGCTCCTTTACGCGTACAGATCAATAGAGGAGTCCCCTGAATTCAACTCGACTTGAATTGAAACTCTGCAATGTGTTTTTTTCTCCAGACTTTACGATGATATAAAAACTTCATTGTTTTAGTCAAACAACGACACGCCTTGTGTTACGGGAATTTAACAATGCATTGCTATGTATGGATTACATAATGCATGGCGGTGTATATTATCGTGTTATGTCCATGATAGAAGTACATGCATACATTAGAGATGAAGAACTACAAAGTGGTTTACAAAATGTCTGCTCTTTCATAGCTACTGAGACCGGTATGAGGAAACTTAATCTCGTGTTACCATGCCAACCATTTATTCCACAGTGGAGCCGCCTCACCCGTTTAAGTTGCACACATAGCGGAGTATCCGCGCGTGATGATAATGACGTGAGTGTATTGAAAAAAGAACTCGGACTTAAAATATACACTTTAAAGAGTGTTTTCTTTTTAATGGTGTGAAATCCCCTACATGGTACGTCATACACGGACAGTGTTTTGACTCTCTCGAATCTCATCTGAGTTTTCAGTTGTGCTTCTGAATTATTTTTATGACAGTGGTGGTTTAAATTACCTAATTATGATAATCACTTTACCACCCTAGTAAATTCCGTCTTTGGTTTCTAGTTTATTTAAAAACACTTTCATTGAGAAGGAGATTTCGTGAAAACGACGGGGTATTGGAAAGTAATGGACAGAGACACATCAATTGCTTTGTATTTTTCTTTTGTTTTCTGTTTTGATTGATCCATTCTTAGTTTTCAGTTGTGATTCTGAATAATTTGTATTACAATTGTCGTTCATATGACAAATGCAATTTAAGAGGCTTTCGTCACTTGTTTCTTGTTTATTCGTTTATTTGTGAACATTTTCTTTGTGAAGGAGAATTCGTGAAAGAGTATATTAGACAGAATCCATTAGAAATGAAAAATATAACATAGTTAAATGAGTGTGTCATCATTTTTGTTGTTTTCGATGTTGTTATTTAATATTTTTTCCCTAAATTGATATGTTACCCATTTCAGCCTTATGATGTGATTATAGCATTTAGGTAAAATATTACAACACGACTGCAACTATTGCAAAAAATCAACATATAAATCATATTCGGATTGTGTAACACGTCATCGTCATGTTTGCACGTTTCCATTGGTGATGTACGAGGATATTTCAATTGCCTGAGGTTGATTTTTAGAAAGTAGTTGACATCGTATTTTACGTGTGTGTTTAAAATAACTCAGCTGGAAGTAATACAAAGTACAATCGAGGTTTGTATTTTGATCAGTCCTTATTAATCCTTCTGTTTGATTAATTCTTGTAGGGCATCATTATGAAGCACTCACCGCTGTGCAGCTATTCGCCCAGCTTAATCTTGGCATATGTATTCATCTCTGGTAAGTGAACAAAACGTCATAACTACATAACCTGACGCCGTTCAACAAACTTAGTATAAATGGCCCACAAAATGGCAATACGTCCAATCACATACAGCGTTTTTTTATACCCAATTTCAGAATATTTTGTTTATTGTTCAATTTGACTAAGAATAATCAGTAGTAATATTGATCAAAATGTTTGATTTAGGGTGATCAAACGTTGATCCATGCTGCATACTATTTACCCAGTATTTCTAAAGTGTCCAAGGGGGCTTATTTCGACGGTTGGCGGGGGCCGGGGCGGCTTTTTTTTAACCTAGGCAAGCCATTCTATTAGTTATCAAAGCGGGTTGGAAAAAGGTCACAACCAAGTAGACTTTGGTTATGTTTTGCTTTGCCTCACATTTTATAAAGGCAAAGATGGGAAGGAATAATTACTGGGATTTGAACCCACTACTCTGAATTATAGTACGCTGACCTTATCGGTTGAGCCACCCAATGGGTTGATAAAAGGTGGGTTTGCATAATAATGTATGATGAAGGAGAAAAAAAATGCAAAAACCTAAAAAAATCAAATCAAACCCTAAACCTCACCATAACCAAAACCAAAAACCCTAACTAAACCCCAAATGCATGGAACTCAATTCGAGCAACTATTCGTATATAACTATAGCCTACTATCATAAGATGGTACTTTAAGTATATACGATGACCAATAGCATTCAGTTTATCATTTACCCCCAAAGAAAGTCCTGATAAAAGTCCTAAAAGGCTAAATTTATCACTTAAAATCAATGGTATCATTATATTCCTATGTGTAATTACCCAGATTGATTCTGTTATGTTGTGTTCTTATATTCTGTGGAAAAGACCGTGCATCATTTATTTATTTTCTATCGAAAAGAATAGACGAAAATACATCAGGCAGTCATCCTTGTGGAATACAATAACAGCCAAAATAAAAGCTACAAGGATTTGTAATGACCATGATGATTGTCTCATTTCATTGATTGCACACAGTGTGTGGTATAATCATTTTTTTTCGGTTGAATGTATTTATCCGCTCTGGAAATAATCAATCCTATACGCCCGACTTCAGCCAGTTATAGGAATACCCATTAATGCACCGTCGTATTAGCAAAATAATAGCTCAGACCTTATGAAAGTTTAATTATGTTAATTTTCTCTCTCACGTGTTTCATTATGCAAATGAAGTAGTATGTTTATTCAGTCTTTTTGTTTGGGAATGTGTTCTCTCTCACCCCTGGCCCCTATTTGTTGCCCCTCTCACTCTCTCTCTCTCTCTCTCTCTCTCTCTTTCTCTCTCTTACTTATCCGTCTCTATATCGCTATCATTTCTATCTCCCAACCCCCCCCCCCCCCTCTCTCTCTCTCTCTCTCTCTCTCTCTCTCTCTCTCTCTTTGCAGCCCTGTTAGCCTGTATTTGCCTGGATCCAATGAGTTGCAATGCTCAACAGAGTAAGTATACACATTTGTACGTAACGCTCATTTTCAGCAGTCAGAGGTGCATTTTGCTGTTGATGTTTTGTTTTTCTTTGTCAAATTTTATTATTGTACCTGTGTGAAGTTAAATCCCTAAACTTTTGAAAAGTCCACACGCAGTCTCGTTTCCTGCTACCCACTATCTGCCAAAATATGAATGTACTGCAAAATACTATAATATGTTTGCTTACATTGTTTCTTTCTTTATTTTGTCATCTAGCCGATGACATGCAAACGACTGATATGATGCCCACGGGTAATGACCACACGATGACAACATCGATGATGATGGATGACAACGACCACATGATGGCGACAGACATGATGGCCACCGATGAGCAACACATGATGTCGACATCGAAAATGATGAGCGACAACGATAGGATGATGACGACAATGACGACGGCAACCGATGATCAACACATGATGTCGACATCGAAAATGATGAGCGACGACGATACGATGAGGACGACAATGACGATGACAACCGATGATCAACACATGATGTCGACATCGCAAATGATGAACGAAGACGATAAGATGATGACGACAATGACGATGACAACCGATGATCAACACATGATGTCGACATCGCAAATGATGAGCGACGACGATACGATGAGGACGACAATGACGATGACAACCGATGATCATCACATGATGTCGACATCGGAAATGATGAGCGACAACGATAAGATGATGACGACAATGACGATGACAACCGATGATCATCACATGATGTCGACATCGAAAATGATGAGCGACGACGATAAGATGATGACGACAATGACGATGACAACCGATGATCATCACATGATGTCGACATCGAAAATGATGAGCGACGATAATCCAATGATGACAACGATGATGACGGCAGCCGAGACGACCACGAACGATGACCACATTACGTCCGAAAAGACTTCCATGGATGGACATCACATGATGACGACGGATATGAATACGATGATGCATAACATGACGACAGACATGGGATTAGAAAATACATCGCAAACGGATATGAAGCCAACGATGACACCAACGATGAACATGAATATGACAACAGGGATGATGTCCGAGGCTCCTAAAGAACACATGAACGGTAACATAACGTTTGTCTATGGATCAGGGTTCTGTAACACAAAGCGTAGCATATGAACCTAGGAGTGAATTTTGAACGTGGTGATCAATGCAATCTATCGCACAAATCAATCTTACGATCATTGGCTAAGCTTTGCGTTGCGGGGCCCTGGTGTGTCAAAGTAAAGAAAAAATGATCCACTGAGTTAATGTAAGAAATGGCTTAGATAGAGGGGTACGGGAGCACATACCCCCCCCCCCCCCACCCCCCACCCAATCGAAGAGCAACACAAAGGAGAGAGAGAGAGGTGCTCAGTGGATTAGCCCATACCATGATGCCATTGTTTATATATTGTTAGTACCAATACGTTTGAAAATTAACGCAAGAAGATACTCATAATTGAACGAGTAATTAGTGTATTAGTGTTGAGTCAAAATCATGTCCTGGAAAATAGTTATTTTCAGATTTACTACTTCATATCTCCTTAATACTATACTGCTTTTCACATTTCTTTGTCAGAAGAATAATTTCAAAAATTCTTCATTTTCGTTCAGTTATGTCGTCATTATCATTGATAATGTTATTATTGAGTTGATTAACAAATGGAATTTAAATGTATCTTTCAGATAGTATGACGACTATGATGAACACAAGTGGTATGATCCATCGCACCACACAACCACAACCAACTATGGCGTCATCAGACATGATGTATACTCCCACAATGCACCATTCATCATCAGTGGTAAGATAGATGTGTAAAGATGTCAACAGATTTTCGTTGCAGTTGTTGTAGTTTTTTTTATACGTTTGGCAAAAAGACAATTTCATACAGTAATATAGGCTTTCCACTACCGACTACTTCCCGGAAGAGAGCTTTCATCAGAAGTGTTGCAGGGTATAACTCTTCACTCCAAAACCCCTGAAAAAAGAACAATTAAGAAAACGAAGATAATGAACAAAAGAACCAAAGAAGAAGATAATGAACAAAAGAACCAAAGAAGAAGAAAAAGAAGAAGAAGAAGAAATCGAGAAAAAATAAAACCAAATATTGCGCTGGAAACTAGTGCCATTGTTTTTAGACGTTTACAAATTGCTCATGTGGATTGAATAAACTTGGTGTAAAGCCACATCTGAAATGCCTTGATGAATTTCCAACCCTTTTCATATCCTTGCCGGACAAACAAGCAAACTTTAAAATTATCATGTATTGTAATATTTGATTTCTTGCCTCGTTGAAATAATTTACTTAAACCTTTTATTGTCCAACCCGCAGATGGCGCTCTCCTGTTTCTCGTGTCAGGCCACATTGAAGACGTCTGATTGTTATGGCATACAGAATGACTCATCGCCCGTTGCTACCTGCGCACCTAATGAGATATGTGGGGTAAGTTGTATGACACCTGACCAGGGGCGGTGATTTCTTTTCATGACCGGGGGGGGGGGACGACATGCGACGTTTACTTGTTCATTTTGAATGATAGTACGCGAGGGAGCGTAGTGACCGAATGAGATTTGTATTTCATTTCATTTGTATGACATTTGTATTCGTCTAAACGCTGCGCTCTTGGGCCATCCAGCTATACATTTATTTTTGCAGTTTTTTAAAAAATTTCCGAGGGGAAGATCCCCTCGCATCCAGCGATCGCCGCCCCTGCACCTCACATTCGTACAGCAGGGTAATCTATATATTATAAATAGGATATACATCATTGTATCTTATGTAGATGTAGTACAAATATTTGCGCGACATTGTAACCACAAAATGTTGAAATTTTTACTTATTTGATAGATTCTAAAAATAGAAAATTTATAATCGAACAAGATATTCGAATTTGATGAAAAAGAAATTGCTTAATTTGTTTAGATTTGTACTACTTCTCTCTCTCTCTTCTTTTTGTCTCACTTTCTCTCTCTCTCTCTCTCTCTCTCTCCACCCCCTACCCCTTCCACAAAATCATATTTCAACATTTCATCATCCAGTTTTAAAACAATTCATGTTTTATCGATATTCATGTTGTTTTTATAATTAAGGAACAATAATCGGAAAAAAACTCAACGAAGAGTTGTTCGTATTGAAAGTCGTCATCCTTCTTTTTCGTCCCCTGATGAAATTCCCATACCATCTTTATTACACGCTCGCTGACTGGCTTTTGATTCACTTGGGGCGTCATTGAGAACGCCCGTAGATTTGGCAAAAAACCGTTTTGGATTTTAGTACCTCGGCAGTCACTCCGCTGTTACTAAAGTAGCTTCTCGATTTTGCACACGAACCGCAGATTCTTCGTTTGCGTTGAGCTTGCGAAAACACCACATTGAGCTTGTCAAGACGGGACATGCGTCAATTTGTAACGCATTTGTGTTGCACAAAGATCATTCTCCCCTCAATTAATTGGTGCCTATTGTTTTGTGCAAAATTGCAAGTGCGACAAAGGAGCGACTGAGCGGAGAAGCGACAAAGGAGAACTGAAGTTTGTTTAATTATCATGTTAATGTTACTATCATCATGAAACAATTATTTCTTCTTTTTCTCCTTCCAGACTGTAATGTATGACCAAGGGTCTGGAACTGACCTCGTTAATGTCTCACGGGTCTGTTTCGCTGAAGATTGTCCCAACACCGAGGTCGATGACATTGCTTGTGAGATGTCTAACGCGCCACATCGCCGCTGTGTCCAGTGCTGCTCGGAACATAGGTGTAACATGCACGTCAACAGCAAGGCAGTGACATCATTCACTCAATCAAAAATGGCGTCGCTTCAAGGTGGCCTTGTGTTTCTTGTCTTCGTTTTAATGACTGGATATTTAAGATGTTGAAATATCTAAATACGATGAGAAAGAAAAATTAGCCTTTACCACAATATAATACTGTCGAAAATTTTCCCTGATAGGTCTACATATTTCCAATGATTGAGTTTGTGTCTTTGGTATGCATCACGTGAATAAGGGTTAGTACAGACTTTTAAGTTTCAGGAAGACTTAATTAAATCACTGTAAAGTCTTTAAAAAAATAACCATAACAAACCAGAAAAACGAGCAAATATTCAAACAGATGTGTATATTAAAGGTTAGTCAATCTGATTATTTGTGATTTATTTAGACATGGGCACCGTTCTAAGTAAAAACTATTTTCTCCATTGATGATTCAAGTAAAATATTTTGAATTATAAGAAAGTAATGATTAGTCATTTCAGCTAAACCTAAAGACATACAAATATTTGTGTATCATGTTGCCTCATAAGAAAGAAGAATAATATTAGGATGCCTTAGCAAACATTTTTATAAAGTTTCTATTCTTGTATAAATGAGGAGTCAATGTGCAATTTATAAATACAAGGTTATACATGTAAAGATTTGTAATATAATAAATGGTGGCCATTGTGTATATGAGACTATCAGACGATACATTGGGCCCTCTGTCAACAAAAACATGTTTTCAATAACAAGTGTCACATTTCTATGACAGGCTTGCTATTAGCCAATCAAAGGCAACCATTTCAGGAGCTTATAAGAATTATTTCAAGTTGTTATTGATAACAGGTTTCATGAAACAGGGCCCTAATGATCCTGCTGATGTCAGATCATATGGGCAGATGGTCAATTAGTTCTAATTTCTGTTTTGTTTCGTAGTTAAAGTTATAACTGTTATTCATATAGCCTATATAGATTGTCGTATAACTGTGGTTGTTTTAGTCTGATCATTTTATTTTATTACCAAAATCTGTTTTTCCTTTAGTTATTCATTTAATTGTGAAAAGAAAAATCCTCACCGATATCATCATCACAATCACCATTATCTTCATCATTTTGTTTGTATTCATTGTGATTTCAGTTATGTTGGCATGTATACAATGATTGTTTTTGTTTTTTTGTTTTTGTTTTTTTTTTATGATTTTTTTTTTTTTTTTTTTTTTTTTTGGGGGGGGGGTCAAACATTAAACACATCAGAAGGCTCAGTGGCTTAGTAGTAGAGCAGAGGTCTCGGAACCGGGAGGTGCCGGGTTCGAAACCATGTTGATGCGCTAGTGCCCTTTGGTAAGGCATTAATTCTCATTTCTAAGTCCCTCGGAGAGGACTTAAAGCCGTCGGTCCCCTGGTTGCTTACTTTGAAGCATACACATGCTTTTGTAGCAGTCAGGTAAAATCAAGCAAACATTGTTACCCCACTCGATGCGTATGGTGCTTTATCTTCTTTTTGTCGTATAATTGACGTTCAATTTGAATTTCTCCATGCAAAAATGTTACGCTTTCCTCTGTGCTTTATCAAAGCAAGTGATTATTCACACATATCATTGCAGTCTACTTGCTACAGCTCCTTGAATAACGATGTATACCTATTAATATACAATCCTTAGTTTATCGGAATATGTTTTATATGTACATATTTTATTTTTATTTTTTATTTTTTTGGGGGGTAACGTATGTATTCATTGGTTTTATCGCAGTGTGTGATATCTGTGTTAGTATGTTTAGTTAAATCTTAGTATATCTGTGTCCATCTTCGGTGAATAAACAAAATGTATGGTTTGATTTATTTGTTTATGTTTAAACAAACTTGTCTTTCGTCTCCTTCTTAAAGGTACGGAATCGCCAAACGTTATGCATATGTGAACTTTTACCATGTTCGTATTTAGATGAGAGAGGGGGTATGAAAGCAGGCATACAGAGGAAATAAGAGAACAAGAAAGAGAGAAAGACGTTGAAATAGCGAGGGAGAGATATCATATTAGAGAGATACCTGTAAACAATGAAACCGGCAGAGAGAGAGAGAGAGAGAGAGCGGGGGAGAGGCATGGATAGAGACAGATGTAGAGACATGTAAACATGATAGAATTTGAACAACCGCATATATCCATAAAAACAACTCCATTTCAATACGGAGAGAAAGAGAGAGACGGGGACAGACAGACAGAGACAGCGAGAGAGAGAAAGGAGAGAGTTACAGAGAAATAGAGATAGAGAGAGAGAGAGAAAGAAAGATAGTCTGAAAAACAGACAGACAGAGAAAGAGAAAGGGAGAGAGAACAAGAAAGAAATTAGAAAAGACAAACGGACAGACAGACAGGCAGACATGATTAAGCAGATACATAAAAATGATGTATTCATATAAGGAAAACACACTCTGTATCAAAACAACTCCATTTCAAAATGCTAGAATTTCAGCTCAAAATTGTAAATGTTTGTGAATTTGGCGCCTCTGGCAAAGTAAGGGATCAATGCAATGATATTTCAACAACATAATGCAAAATGGTTCCATTCAATGACGATATATACACTAGCACAATGGATATCTAATGGGGCATATTTCAATTCAAACGATTTTAGCAGTTGGGGAAGGATTTTAAGGATTTGTTTTGGCTGTCGTCCCGAGCAATCGACGGCACTATGGTTTATTGACGCGGTTATCACTTCTTGCTCTCTTATGCTTGTACTATCTTTTGTCTTCACGTTAAAACGCAGTACGAAGAAATGTGTCTGTAGGTATGAACGCGTCTATGCAGAGTCCTATTAAACAGAGGATGTCATCCCATGGTTTTTGAATATCCAAAATCTTACATTATTAATAAAAAAGAGATCAATATGATTCATGAAAATGTCTGTCATTATACCCTTACCTTGTCGCTTCTCCTATCTTTATCCACTCTCTCTCTCTCTCTCTCTCTCTCTCTCTCTCCTTTATTTAAATTTGATTTCCTCTGTGTCTCATGTTTGCGTGCGTGTGCGTGTTTGTTTTTTTCGCTACTTTTACCGCTTTCTCCCTCTCTTTCCCCTCCGCCCCCGCCCCTTCTCTCTCTCTCTCTCTCTCTCTCTCTCTCTTTATTTCGCTTTCTTCCTTCTCAGGGATAGAACAATAATGAAAAAGGGCTAAGGAAGAAAAAGGGATTGTAGAGAAGGGAAAAAGAGAGAGAGAGAGAGAGGGGGGGGGAGAGAAGGGAAGATATGTGGGTATGAGAGAGCGAGAGAGAGGAAAAGGGACTAGAGGGAAATAATGGATCCGTGTAAGGTTGTGTGGGCGTAGAAGGAGTGGGATAATTAGTATCCGGACACAATGATGAAGGCTATTGGACGTGACATCTCTCCGGTTTGATATAGAGTCCTTGTTTCACGCGTTGATGAGAGTGTACATGTTTCCTTCCCCCTCTCTCCTTTATTTTGCCTTGTCTTTTCTCATAATTACCTCGCTCTCTATCTCCCTCTCTCACCCCTCCCCCCCCCCCATCTCTCTCTATCTCTCTCTCTCTCTCTCACTCTCTCTCTCTCTCTCTCTCTCTCTCTCTCTCTTTCTTTATTGATCGATCTTCCTTATATTTTCCTTTTTATCACCCGTATATTTCGTTTTCTTATATTAAATCTGTGTCCATTCATTTTACACTTTTTATTTGTTTCCCTGTGGTGTGTGCGTGTGTGCGCGCGTGTGTGTATCATTTACTGACATTTTCTACCAGAAATGTTCTACTATATCACCTTTTTCTCCTTCTCAGTTTGCTCTGTCTCTGTCTCTCTGTCTGTCTCTATCTCTCTCCGTCTCTCATGGTAAAGTTGTTGTCCACTTTTTGCATTTAGAGCCCCTCCCCTTTCTGCTCACTCAATTATGAGACTGTGACATTTTCATGCACTTTGAATAGGAAAATGACAACAACTTTACCCATTACCAGGTTGACAAAATGGTAAAGTTGTGACACAGGTTTTTTCACCATGATTTGACATTGAAAAGTCAAGAGAATATAATTTTTGCAGAGGGAATAATCCATTCCCTTATAATAATTACTATGATACAGTAATCCACTTTTATTCCCTCTCCAAATTTGAAAAAGTATCCTCTTTAACATAATACTAGACAACCCCTAATGTGACCAACATAGTGAAGCAAATGTAAAAAATTGTTTTTACTTCTACTTGAAAGATCAAACTTTTTTTTCACTTAATCTTATCACACATTGTTCTCTTTTGGTATTAGTACTTAGATAATATATTTATGAAAGTAATTTAACAGTTTGTATGTTGATATAAACAGCGATATTTTTTTAAATAATTTTTTCTCAATGGAATTTATTGGGCATCATAGTCATTTTCTCCAGAAAATATGACCATAACATGGTAAAGTTGTTTCACAGGAACCAGTCAATTCTACAGTTTTCTTCAATGTCATTGCTCATTTATATAGAAAATATCAATCATATAGCCTCAACAAAAAAAATTACCCTAAAAAACAACAATTTTGACTCTAAAACTCTAACCCTAATCGTGTTACTTGAAAATTTCGCCTTTGTTTTCTATTGTTTAGTTCACTATTTTGGTAAATGTGTGCCAGATAAAAATGACAGTAAAATGCAAATAATACAGGGAAATGCCCTATTATCAAGATTTCCTATATTTTGAATATCAAAATTTAATGAAAATGATCATCCCATCCTCCTAAAGCTTAAAAGTAGTAGAGAAAATATGTTCTCACTTTTTCATTTTTTAAAGTCCCCAAAAAATAATTATAGCGCCCTCTACTGCCACCAAAAGTTTTCTAAAGTAATGCCTTCTACTTTTTGTATTAACTATTCTTTTATTCTTATAATGTGTGTAAATAACACCAGTCAATAATACTACATGCTGCATTTTAGTTACATGTGTATCATTTTCATAGCATTGAAATTTTCATTATTCAAGATTGATAATAATCACATCTACAAACAGTTTTAATCTCTTTTATTTAAAAAAATACATGTAATTTAAACAATTTCTCATACGGTGATAGTTTTCTATCCCTTATTTATTTATTTTTTCCTTCAAAGCAAGCATTATGCTTTATAATAACTTGTGGACACCCATGGCTTTTAAATACTGTATAGCGGAACTTGAAATTGAGGAATAATGCCTTTAAAAAACGGCAGTGAAGCTAGAGGGGGCAGAGAAGGGAGCCTGTGCCCCCCCCCCCTTTCTCGTCCTATGCCACTACAAAAGTACAATTAACATACAGATTCAGTTTGCAACCCAAAATCTGAGTTATTTGTACAGCGCATTTGAACATGTATATGGAAAATACGCTATATAAATTCAGTATTATTATAATTATTATTATTATTTGAACACTGTTCAGCCACTGATCCATCAAGCCCCAAATAATGTAGGCCCAATGTTCATTTCTGTTAGTAATGTACCAATCAATAATAGTTGATAAAAACATTTCAAAATCTTTATCTGCATAATTACATTATTTCCTCTTTGATGACCACCCCCCCCCCCCCCCCCACACAGTCTTTAAAAAAATCACGACTTTTTTTGTTGTTTTGTTCCTGTCACATAATGTTCTTGAAGGTATATCTGCTTTATTTGCATCTTATATGTATGCCTAACAACCAATAAGGAGGGCAAACAGAAATGAATATTTATCACCACTATTGGTTGTTGTTCTTGTTGATATTTCATTATGTATCACACTGTTAATGTTTGATTTTTATGTTCCTGGAAATCATATTAATAATTAAGTAAACTAAATCAATCAATCAATCAATCAATCAAAATCATCATCACCCTCATAATTATCATTATCTATTAGATTATCTGATCAACAGCATATCTCGACAAAATGAGATATGTCGATTAAGAGATTTGATTTGTATTGTAACTTGAAAAACCATTCTGCTAAATAATAGTACACCATGCAAATGCAATGTTTGGTGAAATTTTCATCTTCAACACACAATCAACATGAGCATCATCTTCACGATCATCAGATTATCACAATCATTCCCATCACCATAGCCATCTTCACTACCAACACTTATGTCATCATAAACGACATTAGGATATGTAGAACAAAAATATACAAAAGATGTTATATTTGTTTTAAACATATTGCATTGTGTAATGTTTTTAATGGTTGAATGACAAACAAAAATATATAACAGTATAAAGCGGTCACAGTCATAACTTTTTAGACAGTTTTCATATTAAGCATAACAAAAACAAGGGTTAACAATTGTAGCCGAAAAAACCCACAGAGCTTTACCAAAAATGTTCATTTACATTCACAGTAACGAAAGAAACAGAATCTGTTTTTTGCGGTTATTTGAGATTTAATAGAGGATGTTTTCTTGTTACCCTGAATATCAACATCATGACAATAACAACAATTACAACACAAACTTTCCCAACTGAATATAATAATAATATCAAATATTTAGGAGCGCTAAAAACAATAAGTACCATAGCGCTTACAAATACATATATATATGAAAAGAGGACAACAAAATGTTCTCACGTGAAGTAGATCCCATAGATCACTGGGGAAAAGGGTAAGTTTTGAGGGATCTTTTGAAGGTGGCAAGACAGGTAATTTCCCTTATAGAAAGAGGGATGTTGTTCCAAGTCTTTAATGCAGCTACTGCAAAACGTTTTTCAGCTGTTGAGAGTCTAGATTTGGGAATGATAAGTTTACATGCGTCGGCTGCTGAGCAAAGATTCCGAGATGGTGTAATGTGTATATATACAAGGATAAACCATTGTCGTACTTTGACTTTACATGTTACACTGCTACAATCCACCCCTAGGAAGGACCCAGGTATTAATTTTTCGATCCATTTATACAAGTATCTGCATATGCATACATTGGAGCATGGAGCTACCATGTCCAACTCTAAGTACTCTCTGCATCGTGGCCACCAACAGACAAGACTTTTGTACACCCCCCCCCCCCCCCCCCCCCCCCCGGCCATAAAAAAGGCGACACTACTCCGTGCATTGAACAGGCGACAGTATTACTTTCTTGCCCGGACCAGGGAATACAGGTTATACATAACCCCCCCCCCCCTTGCATAGAAGGCAAATAGGTCCCTGCATTGAACAGGCGAACAGATGAAAATACAATGCCATTTTATTTTGTTGACAAGTGACAAGATTCCTTAGTGTTACATGATTAATTTTTTGTAGAAAGCCTTCGCTGAGCATCCTAGGGGTCCTTTCCTAGACATCGGGTCATACACAGCATTGGTCTATAAGGAATAGAAAATGAATTATATGTTAATTTCAATTCATGCACCATATAAAAAATGTACTTCTATGATTCAATTATATGTATTATTTTTTTCATATAATGGCGAGTTTGACCTCATTCCAAGTAGCAACAGCTAACTATGAAATGGACTTGAAGGGTGTTCTACAAAGAGTTAAGTTTGACTTAAAGTCATACGTAAGGGCCAATTTGCATACGTTATTAAACGCAAAATCTCATTGGTAGATTAAGCAACTAGGACTTTAAGTGCCACTTTAAAGGTAAATGTCCCATTTGCAGGCCAAATAAATGAAAAGATTAAATTCCAATGGCATTTGGAAGATATTACTAATTTATAACTTCTGTCAAAAGTAAAGGGCTTGAAAATGCCTTTTTGTGGGAAAACAACGACGATTAGTTGTCAAATCGACATTAGAGATTGCAATCACTGAAGTAAATTGTCTGATTTTCAGACCCTTGTACCGAATGGTCATATAATTTGTGCTGCACATAGACCAGATCAGTTTAATTTTGGCCATTATAAGAAGTGGGTTATTGATGTAGACAAATGCTGCATGTTACAGCTCATTTATGTACTATGTTATTACCAAAGAAAAAAGAAGTCAGTCAGTCATTCAATGTTGTCCGACAGTGAAGTCTATAAAGTAAACGGGTTTCCTTACATAATTTGAATACTAGGACTTTGCTAACGTTTAAATTTCACATATAGGACATACATGCCATATTCATGATTCCTGCAATGTTCTACATAATTTGATGTTGGTTGCAAAAGGGACACAGTATCTTTAAAGTCAAACTTAACTCTTTGGGAAACACACCCCTGATATTGTATAGGAGGCAGTCATAGTAGACCAGTTTAAAAACAGACTGAAAATTCACTTTTACTAAAGTGCATAGGGACTGAAAAGTGATATGATCTATACAAATACAGTTTATTATTATCATTATCTATGCATCTAATACTTCACATAATTTAGCTGTAGTATATGACAATTATTATGCTTACCAATGCTCGAAATGGCCTTTTCTTCATCTTGGACGCATTTGAAAGGGCAGCCTGTAAAATGAGCTTGATCATTGTCTGCTCTCCATCTGGTTAGAGGAGTCTACGCTGAAGGACACGTTGTGTGCTGAAAGAAATGTGGAAAATATCATTTCTTACTCCTCAAAAAATAGATTTCTGTTTCTTTCCAATACTTAAAGGGATCCGGTAACTTTGTCTCAGATTCTGAAACAAAATCCTGGAATTAGCTCATGCTGCAATGATAATTATAAACCTTTAGGTCAGTAAGGAACCCCCAAGGCTTTTACAAGCCGATCGCTTGTCTGATTATCAAGATGTTTATGATTGGAATTACAAATTTTGACACTACAGTCTATTGGGGAAAACAAGTGATGATTTTGAAGCGTGATTCTTTTAGGGCTTCAATATTACACCATATCACAGACACTGATAACATGTAGGGCCGTGCATCTCAGATTTAACATTGTTAAACAATGCCTTTAAAGTACCTACATACATATGCATGTATCTACTAGCAGTGACATTTGTTTACATGGCAAGTATTTTTTTCTTCTAAGTTTGGCGTAACAGAATTTTTGTTTACATTTTATCCCACAGAGTACCTAACATTTCATTCAAATAAATCTTACACACTGTACAAAAAAAATTCCTCTACAATATTTGTAAGTAGGATGGAAAAGACAGACAATTGCCCATTACAAATGTTTTATAGGAAATGTGTATAACAAAAAGAAAAATTATGCTTAAATTTTCTTGGAAAGCAAAATTATTAATCATTTGAATATTGGTTTGGACTATTTATCATCTACAAGAAAGTTACAATCCACGTCTCATTTAAACACACTTTATTGTGGATATACAGTGTACTTTATAGAAAACAGCCCTACATGTATTTCAGGTTCCCCCAGTATCTATACTAAGGTGAGTTTTGAGAGCTTTTGTCACATAAGATTAAACTTGTTTACAAAATGCTGCCCTAATTTGGCAAAAGGAACAAGTGACAACAGTGACATTTCATGTAAAAGAGTAAAAGAGCAAAATGCATCTGTCATTTACACTGACCCCAATGCAATAGCATGTCTTGCCTAACATATCTCTAAGCAGGACGAGTGTTCATGCATAAAATTTGGCCCGGAAGAAGAGCCCACTAGGTATAATATGTCTTTGCTTCCTTTTGACAAAGCAGGGCAGAATGTTTATTGGACAGTTAAGGATGTACAGTGTTTGGTTTCTACTAGCTGGTCTATAAGTACTGACAAATGTTTACAAGTTTAGGTACATTACTACATTTTAAATCTAAACTTATGATAAATCCATTTTAATCACACTCCCAAGTGTGATTTACTTACATGTGACTTTGTTGTGCTCAATTATATTAAATTGTGACAATTTCATAATTTTCTTGATATCCAAACATCCTGCAAGAAATACATATTCCCCCAAAAAGATAAGTTGCAAAAGTCTGCCCAAATAAATATTTCAATACCTTTTCAAGAAATTCCTTAGAAAATATCTATAGCTGATGGTTTCTTCTATTAAGGTTAAAAGAAATGAGTTTTCAAGAAATAAATTTCACTAATTTCTCATGCTCAAATAATATAGAAATCAAAAGATAAAAAACTTTTAGGACAGTGGGAAGGGAACTATATTGTCATGGAAACATTTTTTTCTTTTTAAAATTAACTGTAGGGTGTCCTGTCATATATTAGCTATAATGACTGGATAAATTTGCATAGGGAACAATAGGGATTTTTTTCTTCTCATTTAATAACGTATCAAGATAATTCTTTCAAGCTTACCACAACTGCTTCCCCAATACTCGGTTGCCAACTTTGTACAACAGTAAGCTGTAAACGAAGAGGGAAAACATGAAATCAGTATAATTGCATTAAATTCATAACATTCTATTTTGTTGCTTCTTATTTTAGTGTGATCAGTTAAGGGTAAGCATTCTGTCTTACAGAGAAGAATAAAGTTATCATAAGATCAATTCAAAGCCTATCACTACCTTGAAATTCATTAAAGTTGTTATTTCAATAGGTAAAATGCTTTTTTCTTGGGTCAAACTCATTCAATGTTAATGACTGATGATATAAGGTAAATACATACAAACAAATTGGGAACCAGTGCATTGCCTAATAATTTCCATATGTCACACCACCGTTCACATCATAACTTGCCTCAATTGCTTTTGTTAGGAATTATTGACCTAAGTTACATTAATTGCTTGCAGAAAAATACTTCTTTAACATTTATGGAAAAAATAAATTACACATTGTGCAGTTTTAATTAGTTTAGGACATATACTAAGTTTGTCTGTATTGACTACTCAATTATGAAAGGTGTACTGTTCATTGCAAGTACGTGTAGTTAAAAATGCTTATGTGATCTAACAGAGTAAAATATGAAGCTAATAGCAATTGTAGTCATCAAAACTCCTTAGAAAATTCACTTACAAACATAACTCTCTTTTGCATGTTATGAAAGACAGGGTACAATGTATTCTATGGTTTATTTTGGATGTTACACAATGTTAACATTTCAATCAGATCATCAATTTCTACAAACTCTACACTATAGATGTTTAATCAGCTTGCTTTGTTCTTTGCTATAAACTACATGTACAATGTGTCATTCAAGAATATCACTGAAACATATGTATGAACAAGCAAAACATTAACAATTACAACAACAACAAAATGTAAAAAGTTTCCCAGCCATTTTAAGTTTTAGAAAAAGGGAATCCTAATGCATTGTTCATCCTGAGAATTGGACATTTTACATGTATTTTGTATGTTTCAGGTTTTAATACTAGTTAGTAACAATAACGCTCTTAATCTTAATATGTATTTATCTATTTACTTGATGACCGATGGATGGATGGATGGATTGATTGGTTGGTTGATTGATCTTTACTCTTGCTGTGCCGATATCATAAGTGACAAACAGTTTAGGTTAAACATGTATTTTAGATTGCACATTGCTCCAACATGTATTTGGATACCAAGATATTCAGAGCATAAATCAATCATTCTAGTTATCTGTGAAATGTGAAATATAATACATTATAGATTCATAAAAACATTTATTTTCTTCTTGATCTTTCCAATTTCTCTGTTTGACAATAAACAATGGTTAAATAAGCAAGAGAAAAAGGACAAGCAGTATTAAAGCCCATTTACATGTATATTTCACACTGCATGTACCTTATAAATGTACAAAATACATTTGAGGAAGATACAATATATATGTTTAGGATCATTGAATAAGGTATTAATGCCGTTTTCTTTTATACATGTACATGTATGTAAATCTTGTTGGAAGGGTCAAGCGTTTGAAAGGTATTTGTCATTAGTACATGTGAGGGTAATGAAATGAAAGGGAAAATGTATGAATAAATTCATTTTGAAGAGGCTTCACCTTATTGCCCCCACAAATTGGTAATCCCTTTTCTTGTAATTTGGAAATTTGGCAGAATTACAGCCACATGAACATGTGTTTTACAAGTTTCTCTAATAGGAAATGGATACTAGAACTGATTATTGTTTTATGAATACATACTGTAAGCCCTTGTGCTAATCAATTGTATTTGTACATGTATGCAACCAATGAGTGTGTCTTGTAGAGTGCAAGCCTATTTCATAACATTTCTTGATAAATTGTTATCATTTAAGAGAAGGTTCATTGATTTTCAAAACTAACTTTATTGCAAAGCTAGGTGAAACTTTAATTGGACAAGGTTATCAAAATTCAATGCTTGGAAACATTTGAAGTAAGGATTATTATCAATTACAAAGCGCTTAAATACAGCCCCGGCATAGCACCTGAAGAGCTCTCTGAACACTTGAGATGTGTGACGTCACATTTTGAATATGATTTGCTCAAGCAGACGCTGTCCCATGACATCTCAAACATTTTCATTGCCTGTTTTGTCATCTTCTCTTCAGTTATTTCTCTCACTTCACTACCCTCAGGCTAAATGTTTAATCTATTGCCTCACTCTAAACCTCGTGCATGGTATTATTTTGATAAAAAATGCAGCGATTTAAAAATTAAGGAATCCATGTAACAAAAATAAGACGCCATTTTATTTTCAGCAGCATCCACGGTGGTATGTTCGGCATTTCAAGAGGAAAATTTTATAAATCACCCGATATGGAGTTGACCTCAAACTTGTACGATGGCCATCTGTTAGCTTACCAGTTTCTAGTGATACATAATTTGCCATATATATATATACGGACTTACAGATATATGTGATTTTCTTTGAACAGGCACTGTGAATGCAAATTTAAGTATTGAATAATGGCAGTAGTAATCCTTTCTACATAGATTAGTTACATGTACTTGGTGCTTTTTTAAAAGATATTGTAATATATTTTTAGATTTTAAGCTGGCTTTTGATTCAATCAACCATGATATTCTTCCTTTCAAAACTTTATTGTTATGGAATTCGTGGAGTTACCCTCAAATTTATTTTGCAGTTATCTAAATGATAGAAAACAATTCACTGTTTTCGATTCTAAAACTTCAAGTTTACAGTCAGTTTCCTGTGGAATTCTGCAGGGGTCAATTATAGGCCCCCTGCTCTCTTAAATTCATTTAAATTATTTACATTCAGTCTCTCCCATTTTGAATTTTATACTGTTCACGGACGATACCAATATATTTTATAAGCATAAAGATGTCGAATGCCTGACCCAAAATCTGAACAATGAACTCCTAAAAGTTAGTGAGTGGATAAGCGCAAATAAACTGCAAATGTTATGTTGTTTTACTTTCCAAAGATGTGTGCTAGTGAAGTAAAAATATATATGAATGGGAATTTGATTAAACATACAAATTTAACAAAGTTCTTAATATTGATAAAGATAAAGTGGAAAGCACACGTCTATGAAGTTCTATGCAAAGTGTCTAGAACAATAGGAACTATGAGTAAACTAAAAGACATCTTGCCAACCAATATTCTTACAATGTTATACAACTCACTAATCTTGCTTTACATATCCCACTGTAACATTATATAGGGGTTTTGTAAACAACATTTACTTGATCATAATTTGCTTGATTTTATCACACTTATATATCTGTAGCATATCCATGCCATGTACACTGGGTATTGTTTAAGTGGGTGATTTTGAGCTTTTTGTTATCTACCAAATAGTTTAAATTGACCATCTACATTCTTTGGTTATATGACATCATTTGGAACACGCTCTATGAAAATGAAAACCTGATGATTTGCAAACACACAACAATAAAAATATCAAGAGGAGAGGTTGAAAAATTGAAATCTTACATCTATATTTGCCCCTCATTTAAACTACTGTAGTTAAAGTATGAAAATGTCTGTTAAGTGTTAACAGTCTAGTGTAACGTCCGAAACGTGCTAACAGCATACCAGAAAGTGCTGTTAAAATGGCTGAATAATTTTTACGAGTCCCTTTTGTTGAGATTTTTTCAGATAAAGTACAATTATGGATTTACTGTTTAAAGCAGCAAGCAATGCCTTGCATCACAAAGTGTGGCTTCAATATTGTATGTTTTTTAAATCAATTTTGCAAAAAGTTGAGATATTTTACAGAAAATTTGATTTACTTTTTTAGCATCATATTTCTTAATATCTTTATATTCAAACCTATATAAATTTATCAAAATAGTTTCCTTAACAGGAGTGTTCATTGTGAAATCGTAACTTGCAGATATGATCAAAAATGGTGTTAACAATGAAATTGTGTAATGTCCGAAACAGCCTTCTTGTGCTTACACAAAAATGATTGGATAAGAAAGACCTGATTTGTGTTTTGACTTGTGTAAGGACTTATGATAACTCATTTAATAAACATTTATGAACTCCAGATATCCTAAAATATGGATTATCATCATTAAAATGATATTTCTTGATTTAGACATTAAAAGTAAACTGTTAACAGAAAATTGGTTTTAACTATAAAAAATATTGTAATGATGCATTGCAAAATTTCTTTGTTTTGGTGGTTAGCTGCCTTGAGATGTTCAAAAATGTTATGATAGATAGTTCCTGCAGTTCATATCTTCTGCTACCTCTAATGAAAAAAATTTCGGACGTTGAGACAACTTTTTCAATTTTTGACTTTATTTCTAATATGCACTACTATAATTTGATTTCATTTCATTTTCATAGAATCACTTGGAGTAACTAATAAGCTTATTCAAACTATATACAATCTCATTAATTTATTTTTCTAGTGAGTTAATTGGGGATCTACATTGTTTACAGAAAATGTAACATCTGAAGCAACATTTTCAATTGTACTGTTCCATCAAAATACAGGAGATGATTCAGATTACTGTTAACTTTCTTTAAAGTCCCTGTTCAAAGAAAATCACAAATATATGGCAAATAACGCTTCACTAGAAACTGGTAAGCTAACAGATGGCCATCGTACAAGTTTGAGGTCGACTGCATATCGGGTGATTTATAAAAATACATATAAAACCACCTCCATTGCATCTGGGATATACGAGAGATTCGCCAGAAAAATAACGATGTTTTAATGATGTCACATTATGAACCATCCCTGCCCAAGCAGACGACATCCCACAAAGAATGAACATAATTGCAATGCTATTATTTCTCAAATTATAATGAGTTTAGTGAATATAAATGTGATGGCATTGACACCATTCAAAAAGGGGTATGAAACCGATTCTAAATTCTTTTATTTGTAAATACACAGGATAGGGGTTAATGATCAATCAAAGAAACCACACTTTCAAATTGAAAAAACCCTGAATGATAGCATGGACAGCATATGTTCCCTTTTGAAACGCCGAACTACCACAGTGTTGCAGCTGAAAATACAATGGCATCTTATTTTGTTTACAAGCAATGGATCACTTTATTTAAGCGTTTTGTAACTGATAATAATCGTTACTTTGAATGTTTCCAAGCTTTGAATTTTGATAACCTTGTCCAATCAAAGTTTCACCTTTGCAATAATGACAATAAAGTTAGTTTTTAAAATCAATGAACCTTCTCTTTAAGATCCAATTATGCTCATTAATCATCAATAGAAAATAATCATATTGTTTGTAGCTACATATTTTTTTCAGCTCCAACCAAAAATGGTATGTCAATTTTGTTACAAAATTCTGTAAACAATTTGCTGTTCAGGGATACCTCATGCACATAAAGCAAAGTTGACAATTTTTCATCAAGCTATGGGAGGTCAATCTAGGTCCATACTACAAGAAAAATTGGCAACTGATTTCTAATACTTTATCTTTGAAAAGTTTCAGGCTCTCAAAGAGCCATTTAGCTATTTGGTTTTTAAGAAAACAGTGAGTGCCTTATAAAATCTAAAGTTTTTTTGGAAATTCTGAATATATCTGATAGGGAAGCCAATTTCCCTGACTAACATTGGCAAGTGATTGTATTAGACAAGTTCATGATGTTCTTATATGAAGAGCAAAAGAGTACTGGGAAGTCAACACAAGATTTCTATCTCCCACTTTGAGAGACTGAGAATATCACTGATTCTTAGTTGAATAAGTAATGATGGGAACTTAACTTTATCAATTATCAGTACACCTGTGATACCCTCCACAATATATCCTAAAACAATCCATCATATCTAATTATGTCTTACAGGCCTTCCAACTACAAATAGTTCTTTGACATTAACTAATCACACTCATTGATGAATGTGAAGATAAATTGCAATCACAATTTGTGAAACAAAATCACCATGATAATGTCAAAAACTGTGGACAACTAGGTTTATGAAAATTACATAAGTGAGCTTCAAAGCTTTTGAAATAAAAGAGAGAGCATTTTGAGAGTTCACATCAGGCAACCAGAGGCTGCATAACAATGGGCCTGGAAGTAGGTGTGGATGGGGGGGGGGGGCTCATTTGTACACCAAACAAAAAGGTCCCCCATCCACACTTATATAGTCCGAGCTCGATGCTTGGCTGCACTTGCAACATATTTTAATTTGCAAAAGCAAAAAACCAAAAGATTGCCCTTAAAGAATAAATGGCCCTTTTTACATCATTCAAAACAGCTATATTGATGAGAATGGGACATTATTGGCATTAACTGCCTGAACATCATTAAAAACACAATCCATCTTCAAAAGTAAAGAAGAATTCACTGTTGACAATAACAGTGTTGTATTAAACATTTTGCTTTTGGACATATTTAGGATTGCTGTATATTCCATGAGAAAACATCATTAATAATAGGCATCATTGCAGGGGGGGGGGGATTCCCTTCGTAAACATAGGGGCCTACTGTAAGTAAATTAGAGCAGTAAATGAAAATGAGGAATATCGGTGCTCAAACCTGACTTGCAGAACTTTTTATGAGGGGTATTTACATATCAATACACTAGCCAGAAACTTACCACAATCAAATCGCTTCTTGATCCAGAAGGAACATCCTTACATCCAGGCTCCTATTTGTAGGACATAAACAAAAATGACAGGGGCATCGTCTATGGCAGGTAATACAAATGGAAGTAAACATTAGAAAATCATAAGTTTGAAAACAATTTATAGGTAACGCTGTACAATGTAATTCTTAGTTAAAGAATTTCATTTCATTTCATTGATTGGTTCAACCATTTTTTTAAAACAAACATTCAAAATTACAAGCTCGAAGGCTTGACTGCACCTGCAACATATTTTAATTTGCAAAAGCAATAACAAAAAGAAGCTGATATGCTTTAAAAGACAAACAAAATCAATAGGAATAAAGTGAAAGGACGTGAAGATTTAAGGTACATAAAATGTTTGAAAGAGTTACAAAGACCTACTCTCAGGATTACTATTTTAAGTTTTAAGAGTCACATACAAATAAATCCCTCATAAATGTTCATAAATCAAGTTTGACTGATGATGTCTCTCGTATAACAATATCCTTGAATTTGGTGTGAATTTAAATGGTCTTTATTCCCCTTCATAATGATGCCCCATTTGTAATGATTATCTGTATGTAATCATGGAATGTGCAATAAACATGAGTCTAAGGCAAAATTAAAAGTGAAATGTTGCAAAATGCATTGTAATTGTCAGGAAAGCATTCTCCATTTGTTTGAAAGATGTTGAGGCCTTGCAAAGTAATTATATGCAGGACTAAAAGCTGTAACTGACAGACTTGCAACAAATGTATGATGTACTCAAACAAAATGCAACAAATGTATGATACTCAAACACAATGACAATTTCTCAATCAGCTGATTACAAATGCATTTCATCTTACAAACAAAGTTTAAAAACAAGATTGCCCTTAAAGAATAAATGGCCATTTTCACATCATTCAAAACAGCTATATTGATGAGAATGGGACATTATTGGCATTAACTGCCTGAACATCATTAAAAACACAATCCATCTTCAAAAGTAAAGAAGAATTCACTGTTGACAATAACAGTGTTGTATTAAACATTTTGCTTTTGGACATATTTAGGATTGCTGTATATTCCATGAGAAAACATCATTAATAATAGGCATCATTGCAGGGGGGGGGGGATTCCCTTCGTAAACATAGGGGCCTACTGTAAGTAAATTAGAGCAGTAAATGAAAATGAGGAATATCGGTGCTCAAACCTGACTTGCAGAACTTTTTATGAGGGGTATTTACATATCAATACACTAGCCAGAAACTTACCACAATCAAATCGCTTCTTGATCCAGAAGGAACATCCTTACATCCAGGCTCCTATTTGTAGGACATAAACAAAAATGACAGGGGCATCGTTCATGGCAGGTAATACAAATGGAAGTAAACATTAGAAAATCATAAGTTTGAAAACAATTTATAGGTAACGCTGTACAATGTAATTCTTAGTTAAAGAATTTCATTTCATTTCATTGATTGGTTCAACCATTTTTTTAAAACAAACATTCAAAATTACAAGCTCGAAGGCTTGACTGCACCTGCAACATATTTTAATTTGCAAAAGCAATAACAAAAAGAAGCTGATATGCTTTAAAAGACAAACAAAATCAATAGGAATAAAGTGAAAGGACGTGAAGATTTAAGGTACATAAAATGTTTGAAAGAGTTACAAAGACCTACTCTCAGGATTACTATTTTAAGTTTTAAGAGTCACATACAAATAAATCCCTCATAAATGTTCATAAATCAAGTTTGACTGATGATGTCTCTCGTATAACAATATCCTTGAATTTGGTGTGAATTTAAATGGTCTTTATTCCCCTTCATAATGATGCCCCATTTGTAATGATTATCTGTATGTAATCATGGAATGTGCAATAAACATGAGTCTAAGGCAAAATTAAAAGTGAAATGTTGCAAAATGCATTGTAATTGTCAGGAAAGCATTCTCCATTTGTTTGAAAGATGTTGAGGCCTTGCAAAGTAATTATATGCAGGACTAAAAGCTGTAACTGACAGACTTGCAACAAATGTATGATGTACTCAAACAAAATGCAACAAATGTATGATACTCAAACACAATGACAATTTCTCAATCAGCTGATTACAAATGCATTTCATCTTACAAACAAAGTTTAAAAACAAGATTGCCCTTAAAGAATAAATGGCCATTTTCACATCATTTAAAACAGCTTTATTAATGAGAATAGGACATTATTGGCATTAACTACCTGAACATCATTAAAAACACAATCCATCTACAAAAGTAAAGAAGAATTCACTGTTGACAATAACAGTGTTGTATCAAACATTTTGCTTTTGGACATATTTAGGATTGCTGTATATTCCATGAGAAAACATCATTAAAAATAGGCATAATTGCAGGGGGGGGATTCCCTTCGTAAACATAAGTAAATTAGAGCAGTAAATGAAAATGAGGAATATCAGTGCTCAAACCTGACTTGCATAACTTTTTTATGGGGGGTATTTACATATCAATACACTAGCCAGAAACTTACCACAATCAAATCGCTTCTTGATCCAGAAGGAACATCCTTACATCCAGGCTCCTATTTGTAGGACATAAACAAAAATGACAGGGGCATCGTTCATGGCAGGTAATACAAATGGAAGTAAACATTAGAAAATCATAAGTTTGAAAACAGTTTATAGGTAACGCTGTACAATGTAATTCTTAGTTAAAGAATTTCATTTCATTTCATTCATTGGTTCAACCATTTTTTTAAAAACAAACATTCAAAATTACAAGCTCGAAGGCTTGACTGCACCTGCAACATATTTTAATTTGCAAAAGCAATAACAAAAAGGAGCTGATATGCTTTAAAAGACAAACAAAATCAATAGGAATAAAGTGAAAGGACATGAAGATTTAAGGTACATAAAATGTTTGAAAGAGTTACAAAGACCTACTCTCAGGATTACTATTTTAAGTTTTAAGAGTCACATACAAATCAATGTTCATAAATCAAGTTTGACTGATGATGTCTCTCGTATAACAATATCCTTGAATTTGGTGTGAATTTAAATGGTGTTTATTCCCCTTCATAATGATGCCCCATTTGTAATGATTATCCGTATGTAATCATGGAATGTGCAATAAACATGAGTCTAAGGCAAAATTAAAAGTGAAATGTTGCAAAATGCATTGTAATTGTCAGGAACGCATTCTACATTTGTTTGAAAGATGTTGAGGCCTTGCAAAGTAATTATATGCAGGACTAAAAGCTGTAAACTGACAGACTTGCAACAAATGTATGATGTACTCAAACAAAATGCAACAAATGTATGATACTCAAACACAATGACAATTTCTCAATCAGCTGATTACAAATGCATTTCATCTTACAAACATTATTGGCATTAACTACCTGAACATCATTAAAAACACAATCCATCTTCAAAAGTAAAGAAGAATTCACCGTTGACAATAACAGTGTTGTATAAAACATTTTGCTTTTGGATATATTTAGGATTGCTGTTTATTCCATGAGAAAACATCATTAAAAATAGGCATCATTGCAGGGGGGGGGGGATTCCCTTCGTAAACATAAGTAAATTAGAGCAGTAAATGAAAATGAGGAATATCAGTGCTCAAACCTGACTTGCAGAACTTTTTATGAGGGGTATTTACATATCAATACACTAGCCAGAAACTTACCACAATCAAATCGCTTCTTGATCCAGAAGTGACATCCTTACATCCAGGCTCCTATTTGTAGGACATAAACAAAAATGACAGGGGCATCGTTCATGGCAGGTAATACAAATGGAAGTAAACATTAGAAAATCATAAGTTTGAAAACAATTTATAGGTCATGTTGTACAATGTAATTATTGTTACAAGAATATCATTTCATTTCATTGATTGGTTCGACCATTTTTTTAAAACAAACATTTAAAATTACAAACGATGTCAGGGTTCTTGTTAATAGCCGGCAACCGGCTATTTTTTCCGGCTGTAATGGCAATCGTAGCCGGCTGTAAGCCTCTCCAAAAAAAAAAATAATAATACAAAAATCACATCATATTCGGTCAAGTCGCTATCTCAAACCCTGCTGGTCTTCAGACTGTCGGGCTGAGCATTCCCAGCCCCGGACTATGGCACAAATTGGGTCATCCTGATAAACAGAGACCACTAATAAACAACATAAAACATGTCTTATTATTCCTCATCTGAACTTGATATCATGATTAACCTTGCAAAGTTACTCTGTGAAGATAGCTGATCTGTGACGTGTTTATATATGCCTTTGCAATGCAATGTTTGCACATGGTCAGGGAGAGAGCTCCCTGCATGTATCATTGCCATATGAAATTATGTGGAAGTGTGTATCACACACACCCAAGACACACCCTGCAATGAGCTGATCCAAGTTAGTGACCAATGAGGAAGGTTCTCTAGCTATGTGGGTGGAGTTTGATACCAGCATAAATTACAGGTTGGTGACCGCGCGTGCTTTCACTGTACCCAGTTCAGTGGGAGGTCAAGAAGCCACGCCCACAAGTGTGCATGTGACAAGCATGAGCTCTCCATCTGTGTGTATGTACAGTGTATTTGGGCGCCGGAGGTTTGTGTGTACATGTGTGTGTGACTGAGAGAGCACGCATGGGCTAGCATGTCCCTGCATGTCCCTGCATGGACGAGGCAGGGACATGAGTAAGACAAGTAAGACAAGTGAGACTCGATAGAAAGGATGGCTGTGTTAATCGGCTGAATTGAAGAATGATCAAAAACTTAAATTACTCACAATATCCAAGACTTTGTTGATTGATATTTCTAAAAATTCAATTATTATTGTTATCAATATTTTTGTATTTTATTTATATATGAACATTATTTTAGGGGGCGAGTCGTCAAGGGATGGATATTAATATTGAGAGAGAGAGAGAGAGACTCGGGGGAGAAGGGATGTGAGAGGAACTGACCACAGTTGTGAGCTGAGAGTGCAGTAATAAGAAAAGGTACATGAGCGATGAACACATTGCAGAGAGAAGGGAATAAAGAGGGTGAGAAAAGAGAGAAGGGGGCTGGTTGTTTTATTGTTTACAAATTCATTCATGGGAATTACTGCTGCCAGAAAGCTGGCGCGCAGCGGCCAGGGTGTAACATTACACTGCGGTTTCTTTGATTATCTTTATCATCGGCTATTAGCACATTCCAAAATGTATGCAAATAACGGTTAACCGGAGCGAGAAATGCTAAACGGTTTTGATGAATGCGGTCGGATAACCGTCGGTTAAACGGTTTGACTCAGGCCTAGTGTGAAACTGTGATTGATTTGGCGATGCACGATTCGATTCAGAATACGAGCGCTGCACAACCGGTGCGGCACGCTATACACATACACTGTCACAGAGACTAGACCGTAGACGTACGTTCGTAAACAAGCTCAAGCCAGCGAACTCCGCTCGCAATAATTTAAAGAGGCCAGCTCCAGAGCTCGCTCTGCGTCCAAATGATCACCCGCATTGGCATTGCTATTTATACGTCGTAATCCTAAGTTAGATCTACCGTATTATGAATAAAAAATGAAAATTTGTACTCATATGTACTCAGAACTTTGTCCAACACCGATATAATCCTTATATCTATTTGATAATTGTTTCAATACAACAACAAAAAGGTTTTTTTCTGGATCTTTTCTTTTCGTGTTGTAACATTTTTACTTTTACTTTTAGCGATCTATTTTACCGATTCGAAAAACAGAGGTGGCATATTGCATATAAACGTTAAGCGCATGGCGATTGGAAGAAAAGTACCGAAAACTATTTTTTTTTCGTAGGCCTAGAGTCTATAGAAATAATCATTAATTATTATTTTTTTAATTTTTTATCGCAAACGATTTTCTTCACTGACAAGGTCCTGTAAACGTCAGTTAACCGTTTTTGCCCAGGACTACCTTGTATCATTATCATGTAATTCAAAATTGTAGATTCATCACAAATATGATTGATTTATCAGAAACAATAATGGAGCATTTTCATTTCATATTGTATATCATATGAAAAGTAAGTTATTCAGCCAAAATATTCATGATCTTTATCATTAAACTATGGCTCATACAGTGTGGTCATATCTTCAAAAATAAGGCTAAGATAGCACCAGAGAGCATCTAAAACCCTAAAGCTTCCAGGGCCCTTGGGCGGGCCCTGGACCCCGGCCGCAAGGGACTTCGCGCTTCGCGCTCGTGATGTGCGCTTCGCGCACATGGTGATGTGCGCTACGCGCACAGAGATTTTTCTTTTGCAATTTTAGTAGCCTCCTGTAAATCATAAATAGCCTGCTATCAGAAAAATTAACAAGAACCCTGGATGTTCGAAAGATATATTCAAAACATATGTGACATACAAAGTAAAAATGGTAGAATCATTGACATATAGTAAAGACGTGCTTAAGGATATGTCAGGAGAAATAGGGTTCCAAATAACAGAAAAATTGTTTCTTACAGATTTAAAAAATATAGTTGTTTCCTGGCCAAAATTTAAATGAGTCTCGCCCACGAGTATTATAATAATGAACATCATTAAAACATCAGAAAGCAATCAGTGAAAACTGAAGAAAAAGGGAAGTGTAAAATACAAGCAGTTATGAAATTTGAAAGTATGCTCAATTAATCAGAAGTTGGATATCTGCAAAATATTTTAAAGTCTACAATTTTTGGGGTAGAGAAATAGTCATCAATTTCTACTTGTTTTCCAAAAAATCATTTTCTAGCACCTGTGTCCTATTGAACCAGGGAGTGCCTACTAACTCTTGATTATGTTGATCTTTCTTCAAAATAGATCTATTCCTTTGATCAATTAAGGATGGTTGTGTTGTGATAATTAATGGGAAGGCTTCTCTCAAGAGAAAACATATAATTACAAAGTATTGTGTTTAACTCATCAACTTGAAAACTTTAACATGTCTTAAATGTCTTAGCTTTTATATAGAGTTCCCTTTAGATTTCACTATTTTGTTTCTTGCTTTTTTTAAAACCAACATAATAACAAGATGGACATCCACTTTCATGACTGGTGTTACATACAGGTACTTCCCTATTTTAAAAATCATTATCCTTATTGACAGAACTGTAAGCGATGTCAGAAAAACAAAACTTGTTCAACCTAAACAACAAGGAAGTCTACAGCTTTTTCAGGCTGGGGTAAAGACTGAGATGTTACAGATACAAACAAAAAGCCAGATTCCTAACTTACAATACAAATTAAAAATAGAAAAGGACTTTCATTTGTGTAAAAAAAATTGGCAAACTTACAGTGCTAGTTGACACTCTCTTGGAAGAACAGCTCTGGAATCACTGGGAGCACCTCCATTCGTAATTCTCATCTCATTCATCTGCTAAGAGACAATGACCAAAACTTGTACATTCAAGAGATGCCTTAAATTTACATTACCTTAGTTTTAGCAGAAACATCAAATTTTTCTTTTAAAATTGAAACCAATTATGTCATGTAGTGATTATTGAGCATTACTGGTATGACTCCAAACTTTAATAGCGCTCAGCAAGTTCAGCAAGCTCAGCAAAATAAAGTTGGAACTAAAGTTGATTAAAAATGGTAGTTTTAATTATTAAAATAGAAAATCAACATACTATAACAAATACAAATTAGATAAATTGGAATGTTTTCTGTGACTAAATAATTCTGAAATTCATAAGATACATCTAAATTAGACTCTAGACCCAACTCCACTTCTCAACTAAATCTACAAACACCCAGTATGGGCACATCATAGGTATTTACATGTGTACAGTATGTTATTGAGGTTTTATCAAGCTGATGGCCATGCCCTTACTCGCACTAATGTAGCCAGGGGACAGGGCGACACATGCCTCCTTAATAATGCTTTTGGATAAAACTTATTTGTTGTTGTTGGTTTTTATGGCGTTTTCCATAGTCATTGGTAACATTGGTAAACCAAACTGACGTTATTGGTACAACAAACTGACAGAATGCAACACACATACCAACAAAAGGTATAATTTACAAACAAAAATGGTAGAAGAAATACCATTTTCCAGTTGTGAATGTGTGAAAATTATCACAACTCACTTGATTCACTCACACAGAATTGTAATCTTTAGTCAGTTGTAAAATGTGTCTGCCAATGTTATTTTGATTATATTTGGTTATATTTACATTTAGGTCCAAAGGATGAACAGGACAACATGATATGAGCTTAAAACTTAAGCATCATGCTCTGTTATTAGCTTTGGAAAAATTGTCAGAAAATTGATTATGATGTACCCACATCATGTGTGATTTACCAACAACAACAGTTAAAGAATACATTTTCAAACGGTAAAGTGTAAAATTGTCTCAACCTGCTTCCTTTGCTCACTTAAACAAAATGTACTTCCTGTCCTCCATCTGAATGAAATTTCTTTCAAGTTTGATGGAGTTCCAAAGGACCAACAGAAACAGAGTTTACTAATGTATACCTAGCTTGATAATGAGCATAATTAATACAAGACCTGTTTGACAGCCATTAATTAAACCTGCAGTAAAGATGTGAAACAGGCAGGAAATCAGAGGACAATGATATTCTGGAATTAGATGACTTCCCTAAGCTGGGGGATGCAAAACCTCCCACTCCCTTCCCTTCCCCAATTCAGGGCAACCAGCTCATATTAAGGCAGCAATTACTTGCCTTTAGCCACTTTTATTGGGTTTTCATAATTTGTTGATAAGATATCAAACATAAATCAAGTCAATCAAACAAAAAACAAACAAAATGCAGCAATACAACAGCATACAACGAAAACAGTGCTTCGTAACTATCTACATGTAATAAAAGCAGTCACTTTTTCTCTTCCACATATCTATCCTCTGTAATTAGAAAAAAAACAAGTGTCTAATTTAGTAGAGGGATAAACATTTTTGCATTTAAGTATCAAGTATGTAGAATTTGAAAGATTAAAAAAGCAATCATCATAATAATTTTGCTTTTGTAGATATACAGACAGGATTACAGATCATAACAATTAAATTTCCTTTTCTTCCAGAGAGGGAGAAAAAGAAAGTATTTAAAAAAAAAGGTAGTTTCAGAAATTAATAACTGTACTCATAACTTAAATCTCCATTTCCGAAAATGAATTGGAAGTTTGTCATTTTTCTTAGCAATACGATATTCAATATCTTTGTTAACGGCAATACATGTACATGCTTTATAACCGTAAAAGGTTGGGGGTTTATTTTTGAATTTGCAAACATACATGTAAGTATAATATTTAGGTCAAAGAAACAAATATATTAGGAATTTATCGACATTATAACTAAACATCTTTTCAAATGTTGAAACATTTTGTACATCAGGCTTTTTGGTTTCCTGAAAAATAACTTTCATATTTTCATCCCAAATGTGTTTTACAATAGGAAATTCAATAAAAAGATGTACCGGTATATAGGTTTCAGGGGCATTAATTGTTACAAAGGGAACAGTTGGGGGAGTCCTTTCTTTTGATTTTATACAAAATATCATTCAAACCTAGTGCTTTAAGAAATAAATTTAAATAGAAAGAGTGCATACATGTACTTATGGTGGATTTAAAATTATTTACATGATTTTTTTCACATTTGACCTCATCAGAGTTGTGAAAATCATTCCTAAATATCATTTGTTTGTATGGAACACCTGGTTTTAACATGACACTGTATGCATATTTTGGAATTTTCTGAGTTTTCAAAAGTGTGGACTGTGGTTCTAATTTCTTCAATAATTTCATGTGGGGTTAAGTGAGACTAACCTCTCATTTTGTTTATTTTTCACATTCAAAAGTTGCATTTCCTCCTGTCCTGTGCACTAATATCATAATCAAGAATAAGCTCCTCAAATAGTTTATTACCAGGGTGAGGAGGGTTGAGTAAATCACTAATAAATAGTTACCTCTGTCTAACCTAGCTATCCTGATATATGAAATGTTGCTTTCATTTTGAGCAAACGTTTCTATTCAACCAAATAAACTGACAAGAACCAATTGGGAAAAGGGTGAATCAAATTCAGCTTCCAAATTTTTTCCCCTAAATATATAACATGTTCGGAGAGACTTGGCCAATTGACTTGAGATTAATCTGTTAAGAACATATTCAGATGCATGTGTGTTCCATAGAATATCCTTACTATCACTAAAATTGTTACAAACAGAAATTTAATAGACTTCCACCAACTGTCATAATTATCATGAAGGAGCATTTTAACCCATGACATTTTTTGTGAAACAGACGAAAGTAGGGGTCAATCATTCGTAAACCACCCAAAGAAAATTCATTACACATGTATTGTCTTTTGGCCCTACCATTTCCACCACTCTATATACATCTAAACAACAAAGTATTTAATCGTTTGAAAAAACTCTGTGGTATTTTAACACATAAGACAGAAGGAAGAAAAAAAGGAGTAGTGGCAACAATAGGGTCTTTACAACATAGAACTTCCCAACAAGGGATAAGATTCTACCAGCCAGCACTTTAAAGTCTTTTTAATGGATTTGAGTTTGGTCCTATGATTAAGTTCATATAGTTGATTTAAATTCAAAGAAAAATGGACACCTAAAGTTTTTAAAGTAGAGTTATTCCACTTTTAACCGTTAACAGAAAAGGAAATGCATAAGAGCCTTTCTTAGAACCAATCCATATTGCTTCTGAATTAGATATATTGAGCTTACAACCAGAGCTATCAGAAAAATTACCAATAGTGTCAAACAATCATCTAAAGGAGGTAACTGAGCCATCAATAAAAGATACTGTGGAATCATCTGCTAACAAAGATATTGTTATGTATTGCTAGAGGCATGAGCGTCCCTGGACGGTGTGTGGGCTCTATAAGTTTACACTATTATTACATTATTATTATATTTTCAATTGTTTAAACAAATTGTTGGCTTACACCCAGTAGATGCAGGTTCAAATCCCACTAGTTCCAAGATTTTTTCTGACTTGTTTTTTAATTACAGATCAATCAATCAATCTTTATTTACTGGGTGTTAGCCAGCAATTTGTTTAAACAATTTAAATTTCTCCCAGGAAGCATTACATTTATAAAGATATATATTATTTTCAACTGGTACTCCTTCGCTTTGAAAGTTTTGTTTAATAGTAAGAGCCATAGTTTCAATAACTAATAAAAACAAGTATGAAGATATGGGACTTCCTTGAAAAATATCATTTTCTCATGTTAATAGAATTTATCAAATTTCCATAATTATATACATAACTTTTTTGACCAGAATAAAACATTTATATCCAGTTAATGAATTTATTACTGAAATTAAATGCTGTAATACACCAAGAAGGAACTGATGAGAAACACTGTCAAAAGCTGTCTGAATGTCAAGCAGAACAATTGCACCTGGAATTTTCTTTGAGTCTGTATAAGATTCAATTTAAATCTGTTATCAACCAGAAATTGTTTCCAATATTCCTACCCTTTAAAAAAAAAGATTGGTCAAGTATGACAGACATTTTTTCAAACGGTTTGCTAAAGTTTTGGCTAAAATCTTGTAGTCTACTGTTAATAAGGAAATAGGTCTAAATTTTGGTAGATAGGAAGTATCTTTATCTTTTTCAGGAATCTAAGTAATAACTCCATTCTTTTGAGAGGTAGACATTAGTCCATCCTGCAGAAAAGAAAATTTACACAAGTTTAAAAGCATATCAGAAAGGTCTTTCCAAAAAACTATATAAAATTCCACAGGTAAACTGTCCAGTGATGGTGATTTGTTATGACTCATTGAATTAAGTGTCTCCAACAATTTTTGCTTAGTAATGTGTTTTTCAAGAAAATCTTTATGAACTTCATTTAATTGAGGAAGTTCAATGGAATCTAAGAAATTAACCATTATACCATCCAAATTATTATCATTGCATCTTCTCTTATACAGGGCTTGATAAAATGAATGAATTTCTCCCAAAATCGTTTGTTGATTTACAATAATGTCATTACTATCATTCTCTAATCTAAATATACTCTTCTTTTCTTCTACTCTGTTTTATAAATTACAAAAATATCTGGAACTCTTCTTCAGTCCATTGGATTAGAGAACGAACAATAAAACCTTGGGTTTCATCATTTTTTTTCATTATTTTTTGTCAAGAAGCTCAGTATTATCTATATCTGCACCTAATTTGATATCTAAATTCTCAATATCTTTAATTTTTTTTTAAATATTGATAATTCTCGGTTTCGTTTTTTCTGGGACGCAATGTATATATAAAAGAGGTTTTGAACTGTGACATTCAGTAATTTTGTTTCACCTTCTTTGAAGCTTGGATTAAAAAGAGGGATGTTTTCACCAAACTGATCTGATAGTAATGAAATAAATTGATAACCAACAAAACTAT